ACTGGGAACACTGGGAGTTACTGGGAGCACTGGGGAGGCACTGGGGCTTACTGGGATCCCTGGGAGTTCCTGGGATCACTGTGGTTGCTGGGTGCTGCAGGAGCTCCTGGAGCTCTGTGGGGAGGGGACAGCCCTGTGACCCCGCTGTGGCCTTGTCCCCTCCTTGGGGACACCGACCCCTCCTGGGGTGGCTTCGGTGGCTCGGGGACCTCCCTGAGGTGGCCCTGGGGCGCCGTTTTGGGGGTGCCCAGCCCCCAGCCCGCTCCTGAGCCGGCGTTTGGTGGCACAGGAGGTGACAGGAGGCCGTGGGGTGACTGTGTCCCCTCTGTGTCCCCTCTGTGTCCCCACAGCCTTCGAGTGCCCCGTGTGCCACCAGCCGTGTCCCCTGGGTGACATCATGGAGAACTTCTTCCTGCAGGACAGCGGGGTGGGCACGGCGCCGGCCGGCAGGCAGGTACCGCCTCCTCTTTAGCGTTAATTAGCGCTAACTAGCGCTGGCCAGGGCCGAGGCACGGCCCCCAGCGTGTCCCTTGTCCCCAGAGCTGCACCAGCTGCGAGGACAACGCGGCGGCCACCAGCTTCTGCCTGGAGTGCGCCGAGCCGCTGTGCGACACCTGCGTGGAGGCCCACCAGAGGGTCAGGTACACCCGGGAGCACAGCGTGCAGCCCCTGGGTGAGTCCTGTGTCACCTGTGTCACCTGTGTCACCTCCCGTCACCTGTGTCACCTGTGTCACCTGTGTCACCTCCCGTCACCTGTGTCACCTCCTGTCCGTGCCGGTTACCAGCTGTGACGCTGTCAGCGGCTCCATCCCAGTGCCGTTCCTGGTTCTGTTCCCAGTGTTGTCCTGGTGCTGTTCTCATGTTCCCTTGGTGCCATCCCAGCCCCATTCCCAGTGCCATCCCAGTGCCATCCCAGCCCCATTCCCTGTGCCATCCCAGCCCCATTCCCGGTGCCATCCCAGCCCCATTCCCGGTGCCATTCCTGGTGCCATCCCAGTCTCATTCCCCGTGCCATCACCCCGTCCCCATTCCCAGCGCTGTTTCCTGTGGCGCCCCATTCCCATTCTCCCGTTCCTGTTACCATTCCCAGTCTCCCATTCCCGTTGCCATTTTCCCATTCCCCCATTCCCATTCCATTTCTCCCACTCCTGTTCCCCCATTCCTGTTCCCCCATTCCAGTTCTCCCACTCCCATTCCCGTTCCCCCATTCCTGTTCTCATTTCGATTCCCATTCCCCCATTCCCATTCCCTCATTCCCCCATTTTCATTCCGATTCCCATTCCCCCATTCCCATTCCCCCATTCCGATTCCCTCATTCCCCCATTTTCATTCCGATTCCCATTCCCCCATTCTCGTTCCCTCATTCCCATTCCCCCATTCCTGTTCCCCCATTCCCATTCCCCCATTCCTGTTCCCCCATTCCCATTCTCCATTCCCCATTTTCATTCCCATTCCCATTCCCCCATTCCC